CCTTAATCAGTTTTATAGCATTGGAGCCGAACCTAGTTGGCATCCACTAAGCAGAAGTTCCACAGCAGTACTTTTAAATAGCAGAGTCGAACTAACTTTTTTTTTTTCTTTTCCCCCCTCACACCCCATAGGTCGTAAACTCACTCCAGCAACAGCAACCAACATCCCCGGCTGTCTCCGAGCCCCTATCACTAAATGCCATTTCCCAAGTCCAGCCTGATCCCACTGTACGAAGGCAGAGGGTTCAGGACCTGATGGCCCAGATGCAAGGTCCATACAATTTCATGCAGGTCAGTATGACGGTGTAACTTTTTGCCATTTAAATATATCCTGATTTATGGTCTTAATTCTATCATGCCACTTGTCTTTGCAGGACTCCATGTTGGAATTTGAGAGTCAACCAATAGACCCTGCAATCGTATCTGCGCAACCTATGAATCCTGCTCAAAGCATGGAGCTGCCTCAGATGGTCTGCCCCCCCGGTAAGTGTACTGTTTGTTTTTGCCCTATCTTGGGCATGATTAAGCATGGGGCATAATACTTAGCTGTTGTATTGCCATCAGCGGTGTGTTTTTTTTAAAATTCTTGTTCTTGGAGTATGTTGCATTTGACATCAAGATGCAAATGCCAAACAGAGAAAAAAAATATGAAGGCTAAACTTTGCTCCTTTTTTTTTTTTTAATCCTTTTAATTTTTTTCTTTTTAATATGCAGTACATCCTGAGCCCCGGCTATCTCAGCCCAGCCAAGTTCCAGATAGCACACAAGTGAGTATGCTTTTGTTTTGTAATCTACAATGGCTTTCACTTTGATGCATTTCTAAAACTGCTTGGTTACCGTAAGCGCAACTGTAAGGTGTATATACTCTACCTCCTGAAATGACAAAGCTAGAGTTTTAAACTTCGGTTTTGTATAGAGTGGGGAAAGTGTAAAACCTTTTCAGGTTTTTGTTACGGCCTGTTCACATGACATCCGTTTTCTGTGCTGACCTGATCCTGATAGTGCTCCTGCACTAAAAATGTATCACTATGTGTTTTATGGGCTACAGTTGTCACGTGCGCAGTCCGTTCAGTTTACGACAGAAAAATACTGCATGTCACATTTTGTAGGGTTCGGAAACGCAAAACACGATTAACGCACTGCACTGCAGCTAACATACTGACAGCTCCACTCCAGCAAAAAAAAACATTTTTTTTAACTGGAACGCATCAAAAACGCATAGCACCGCGTCTGCCAATCCGCACCTGATCAGGACCTGAAACTCATGTGAACAGGCCCTAAGTCTGTATCCCTGTTAGGAAGAGCCACCCTCATTTTGCATTCTTTCTGTTTTTTTTGTTTTTTTAGTAGTAAGTTTTTTTAGTAAGAAAGTGAAGGAAAATACACATTGTTGTGACACCCGATTAGGGGGTAAGGTGACAATAGCATGTTTCCCTCCAAGACAAAGTGGGGTTAAGGCTGCACATACAGTATTGAGGAAGTGTCTTGGTGCTATTCCTGCTTGAAAACATCCAGGTGGAACTTCTATCTTTGATCCAATTTTGCTGCCCTTTTGGTCACCTCCAGCCATTCAACCTTCACCTGCTACCTGCTGTCCTGGTTTCGGGAGTACCTGACGTCTTGCATTTTGCTCTAAACCTATCCTCTTTGCCTTACCGTCTTGCGGTGGAAACATATTGGATTCTAGATGGGGGTTCTGTAGCCATGTAATCATGTTCTGTCTCTTATTAATGCAGTATGCGCCACTCTGAAAATGGGGGATCAGCTTGTTGCTTCTACCAGTGCAGTTAACAGCCTTGGATCAGTTCTAAAATTCATAACGTCATCAAGACTTTCCCTTTGCACTTGCTTTTCCAACTGTTTGTGTATGGAGAATAGAAACCTCCTGACAAGTTTTTTGCTCCCCCTAAACTATTGGTTTAGTGATGATTTTGGTTAGGAATTGTCTATTTAAAATGTGAATCTGGCAGTGTCCCTTTAACGGGGCACTTTTCTGGAAGATGACCTGCTTGTCCTGTGTTTAGTGCTAGAAAGCCCATCGTAGAGTTCTGTTTTCTGGCGGGCCCTGCCCTTTGTTCAGTTCTGGCTGTGACCTTGGGTTATCAAACCACATCTGACTCATCTAAATACCTAAAAAGAGATCTGACTGCTGCCAGGGTTCAGCCCTCTCTTATAGAACGAGTGGAGCAGATGGCTGTAGCGTTAACATTTCAGCTGTGACTGTTTGCTAGACGCCTCCTGTCTCATTTATTGCATGTCTCATGTCAGTTGATAAGCATAGGTCAATTTGTCTAAAGCCATGGACTGCAGAACTGTTGTGTAAAAAGTGTTTGATCCACATAGCCCTTGAAGGACAGTGTCACTTTGGACCAGCTGCTGACAACTTAATTGAGGATGGTGCAAGAGCCCTGCTCTCACTTTTAGGCAGCGGTATAATATGAAGGTTTAGTACTTGTCCCTCGATGCTACTCGAAAAAAGGAAAAAATGTATTTAGGGAGAATACAATAATCCTTTTTTCATGCCCAGTTTTTCTTAACAAGATGCACATTTTCTGCTTTTAAGGTTCCAATGGTATCTTCCACTAGTGAAGGCTTTGCCGGCTCTCCACAGTTGTACCAGCCTTCTCACCCCACAGAACAGAGGTCCCAGAAAGAAGCCATGGAGCAAATCCAGGTTGGTAACCTTGTGTTCCTAAAGGGGAAAGTCTCTCCAGAAGTGAATAGTTTGTTTTTGGGTTGATTTACTTTTAATGTTCTATTTTAAGTGTTCCTTGCGGTTAACCTGTACCATCGCATTTCTTTTTTCCCAGGCCTCTTTATCTCTAAATTCAGATCCAACGCAAACTTCCTCATCGCTTCCTGCTGCTTCCCAACCTCAGGTGTTCCAGACTGGGTCCAACAAGCCACTACATAGCAGTGGTATCAATGTGAATGCTGCTCCATTCCAGTCCATGCAGACCGTAAGCATATCACGCCTCTTAACTTCATTACATTTTTCATGCATTGCGCTATTACTCTTAAAACACGTCTGGCCTACAACATTCTGCAATCTTCTGCTTTTTTTTTCTGTTTATTTTTCTGTTTATTTTACAATCTTTAAATTTTTTATATGGGAGAGGCCGTTTAACCCTATATAATCAAGAACGTTCACATCGGCTTTAGTGCCTGTTCACACAACGTCAGTTTTGCGTGCTGACCTGATCCGTACGCTCCTGCACTCAAAATGTATCCCTACGTGTTTTATGGGCTACAGCTCTCACATGCGCAGTCCGTTCAGGTTACGACAAAAATACTGCATGTCACATTTTATACGGTCAGGAAACGCAAACGAGTCAAAAACGCACTGCACTGCAGCTAACATACTGACAGCCCCACTCCAGCAAAAACGCACTGCATCAGTAGCACCATGTCTGCAGATCCGGACCTGATCAGGACCTGAAACTCATGTGAACAGGCCCTTAAGATGGAGGATTTCGGTGGGCATCCTTGACACCATTCTGTTGTCAGAAGCGTTAGGTTGTACAGATCATTCGATGGATTCACACAGCGGCGTGGCTGAAATCTGCTCTTTATTGCAAACTGGTAAAAAGTACAAGATCACCTCAAACTCTACACGGGGTGTAATTATTTTGTACTGCTTTGTAATAAAGAATATACACCGGGCTGACTGGTTTGAGATGATCTTGCCTATCCTGGTTGGAACAAGCTGGGTCTTCAGCCAACAAAAAGCCTTAGGGTAAAGTCTGAACCGACCTGAAGCTATTTTTTTCAGCTGAAGTTCTGTGTGCTTTGATTGTACAACTTAATTCCTCTAGTTCTTAGCATGGGTCTGTGGTCTTTGGTCTTATTCATGTGATATTTTCCCCCCTCTTTAGGTTTTTAATATGAATGCACCTGTCCCTCCTGTGAATGAGACGGACACGCTAAAACAGAACCAGTACCAGGCCAGTTACAATCAAACCTTCCCAGGCCAGCCACACCAAGTGGAACAAAACGATCTTCAACAAGAGCAGCTACAGTCGGGTAATGAGAATTTACAGTTTCCTCATAACATTTTGTGCTAGATGTAACTGTAATCTTTACAAATGGCACCTTATGACATCCGATTGTACTGTTTTTTTAAGCAGTTGGAAGGCTTCAAATGAAGCCTGTGCTAATGGTGAGCCAAAGGCTGACCTGAAAAATGCTAGTTGCCTGACCTGTATGACTTGGGTACTTGGAGTAAATGATCTGAGGCAGGCATGTAAAAGTGAAGTCAGAACTCTTAGGGGTGGTTCACAGAAGGGTTTGGAGAAGGCAGGAGAAGTGAACAATCCAGGACAACATCGCTGATTTGGGAAAGTCTCCAATTCCGCTCACTTTTCAGTTCAGCTATGTTGTCCTAGATTGTTCACTTCTCCTCCCTGCTCCAAACTCTTCACCCTTTGTGAATAACCCCTGTTAGTTCTGTTTCAGTGACTTGAAGTACTGAACCCATTATTTGGCATCACTGCTATGCAACTACCATTTTCAGGTGTGGTAGTGGCAGCCTTCATACTTTATTTCAGGTTGCCTTTAACGTTTGTATATTAATGTGTCACTGCATCCAAAAACATGTGTTTTCTCTCCCGTTCATTGAAGGACACAGGCAACAGATCGTAGATCCTGAATGGTAGGGTAATATCGCCACCTGCAGGAGAAGGACGCTAGGCACAAAACTAAAGACCAATTACAGCCTAGGGGCGGCCCCTGCCGGTGGCCAATCGATCTGTTGCCTGTGTCCTTCAATGAACGGGAGAGAAAATAGGATTTTTGTACTCACCGTAAAATCCTTTTCTCTCCGTTCATTGAAGGACACAGGCCCCGCCCTCTTTATGGGGTGTACACTCCTAACTGCTTGTTACTAAACTGGAGACTTGTCAGCAGGTGGGGGGTTTGGCCACCGGCAGGGGCCGCCCCTAGGCTGTAATTGGTCTTTAGTTTTGTGCCTAGCGTCCTTCTCCTGCAGGTGGCGATATTACCCTACCATTCAGGATCTACGATCTGTTGCCTGTGTCCTTCAATGAACGGAGAGAAAAGGATTTTACGGTGAGTACAAAATTCCTATTTTTTCTTTTGCTTAGAAAAGGGATAGATCTATATTCAGTCATTCAGTGCCATGTATTTGAACAGATTTCCCCTCTCTTCCTGTGACATCTGTCACCCTCCTCACAGACTCACCATTTCTGAAATTGGGCTTTTGCCTGAACGGCTTGTATTGTAACCTCTGTGCAATGTTTCACTGTGACTTGCTTCTGTTTCAGTGGTAAACCCTTACCATGCAGCATCGGACCAGTCCCACCAAGCTTCCACTGGCCACCAACAGCAGACGCAACAGAACGCTGGCTTCCCCCGCAACAACCAGCCCTTCTACAACAACAGAGGGATGACCCGAGGAGGGCAGAGGGGTGGCAGGGGCATGATCAATGGCTACAGAGGACCATCTAATGGTTTCAGAGGCAAGTATTAGGCCTGGTTCAAAGTGAGCATTTTGTAGCGCTTATTCTGCCCGCTCAAAAGAAAATATGCCCCCCCAAAAATCCCATTCATTTTTATGGCCCTGTTCACATCTGAGCGTTGTCGCAATAAGCAAATCGCCTGTCGCTGGATAAGTTTTTTTTTTTTTTTGGCATATTACAACTCGTTTCGGCCCCATAGACTCAATAGGAAACGTTTGAAAAGGTGTTTGCTGTGTGTGCGTTTTAACATGCGTTTGCTCATTTACATCAATGAGCTACAATCTGCTCACAAAAATGCACGATTTTATTTATGAGCATAAAACGCTGTTGCCTAGGTGTGAACCCAGCATTAAGGATGGGCAATCCTCTTCAAGATTGATGGTTTAAATATATCATGTTCCCAGCATAACTTGTTGCCTTTTTCTGCTTCATGTTCTGCAGGAGGATATGATGGCTACCGCCCTGCCTTCTCAAACACTCCAAACAGCGGTTACCCACAGGCTCAGTTTAGCGCACCACGAGACTATACCAACAACTACCAACGGGTGAGATGCACATTGTCCTCTTTCTGACGGCTTCTTGTTGCAGTGTTCTGCCAATTTATAGCTTTAAGTATGGCAGAATTTATTTTCATATAGTAATCTGTCAAATTACAAACATTTAACCCCAGCTTAAAAGAGCACTATGGGGTAACCTTTTTATCCCGTAATTCTCAAGGGTCACAGGCGGACATATACTAATGTCCTCCTGTGACCCAAAGCTCAGTGTATATAGTGAGCTATATACAGAGGGCAGCAGCGGATCCTGATAATACTGTCACGATCCAGCTAGCTGATTGACAGCGGGCTCTGTCTGTCTAGAGCCAGCTGTGCCTACCCCCTCCTCTGTCCGTTCCTCCAGTCAGTGCTGGAGGATGGGGGGGGGAATCCCTGTGGGGAGTGGTAACTGACAGTCACCGCTCTCTGCAGGGATGTGATCGGGAAGTGAGTGAGCGACAGTGTGCTCGCTCACTTCCCGATCTATAGAGCCGACGTGACCGTTTCATTTTCACAGGTCGGCTTTAACTATGAGTATGAGTGAAAATCACTCGCCTCATAGTTCTCCTTTTCTAAGGCAGTCTAATTTCAGTCTTGTGACTAACTTTCAAATGTCATTGGACTTCACTGAAAAGGACAAACATTGCTTATGATAAAGATGGCAATCTTGGTGTTGGCTTTGTGCATTGAGCCTGTTGGCTATAGTGCAAAGTCAGCTCCAATGGTGGAGATTCAAATAAGGAATCCTATATTACGTGTTAATATTCATAAAACAAAAAGACACAACAATGGATTTGAACTCCTATGGGTTAGCTAAGAAGACGGCATGGCGTTAAGAGCTTGGCACCTGGCTAGTTTAACTAATAGAGTTTTTGGAAAGGGGGTGACCCGCTGCTGTGAGTCATTTAGCTGTGTGAATCTTCACCTTGAGCTGATGAAGTCTGTAAACAGGCTTCTTTTTTTTTTTCTTATAGGCTGTGAATGTGTTTTTGCAACTTGTTTTTTGACGGTCTTGTATTTCCTCTTTTTAGGATGGATATCAGCAAAATTTTAAGCGTGGCACCGGACAGGGAGGTCCTCGGGGCGCTCCTCGAGGTAATGCTCAAGCGATGCACTCCTAAATCAGCTCCAACAGGCTTCAAGGGCAAAGGCCTGAGGAATTGAAGGAAAATTTTTCTTATCCCCGCCCCCCCTTCCCCTTCGGTAACAACATGCCTAGATCTCATCGGCCACACTAAATCACCCCACAGCACCAGTTTGGGAATAGTAACTCGTCTCACTTGGGTGCTGAGTGAGAGGGTCAGCTCTTGTACATGATCCGTAGAGACACCGGAATAGCAGTAACGCTCGATGGGGAAAAAAATTGCTTTCGCTAGAATGACTCGCCTTTTTTTAACCACAGAATTCTCCTGAAAACTTGAAGTTTTAATTTATTTTTTTCTTAAGCTTTACTACTTGTCGCTGCCTTTTTTTTCTTTTTTTTTCCCCACCCACATGGAGAGTGTATAAACATTTTTTTAAAACTTTTTTTTTTGCAAGCAAAGCATAATAATAATTTAAAAAAAAAAACCTGTCTTACCCACCCGTTTATTAAACTTCCCAAAACTCTGAATTTGTGAATCGTTGCTTGAGTTTCAATAAAGTTGTGTTAAGTCAACTGCAGCTGGTTGCGGAGTTTTTTTGTGGTCTGGTTTCTTAAACTCTGCTAGTGTGTGGTGCATTCCAGTGGTTTGAACTCCTCAATGGCAACAGTATGAACCCAGTTTGCGCACAGTAGTCCACTTGCAACTAGCCTGACATTGGCTTGGCTTTGTAACATGGAATACCACTGAAAGGAATGGGGGGGGGCGGCATGTCGGGCGGGCAGATACTTCAGGTTTGATCTGACTGGGGCAGTTGCAGCTGTGAAAACGGTTTCATCTAACAGTTAAAGTATTTGGTCTCTGCTTTCAAATTTTGCTATAACCATGTTTGATGGCAACAGAGCGTGGTCAAAGGTAATGCAGCCTCTAAGGACAATGTCTGAAGTAAGCCTTAGCAAATCTTTTAGTCTCTGATTTTGTAAAACAATGGATAGGCACACACTGGCTTCTGTTGTGCCTGAAAGATTAGGTTTCACCATTCATTTCTAAAGGATAGCTAAACCAGAAAACAAAAAAGTAATGTATTGCAGCTTACCTATTCTTAGATGTGGTGGTCGCATCCTTTTTTTTTTTTTTTGTTTTCAGGCAGAAGTAAATTTTCTGCAAGTACAGACAAATAACTAAATCTGGTTATACACTTTTAAGTTTTTGTCCAACCCACGAGCTGAACAAAAAAAAATAGAACCGATTTTCCTCCAACGCTTACGAGCATTTATCGAGGGATCCCCACTGTTTCCTTTGTTTCTCACAGCAGCCGCTATCGGAATACCCCAACAGAGCCAGCAGCTCATTGGCTGTCGGCTCTGGTCTGAAGATTTTCCCACCGGCCCCCTCGATCAGCTAATCAAGGGATGCCAGCCAAAAGCGTGCCGACAGCAGCACCCTCTGCCAATTTCATCTGGTTGTTGAAGAACCGGCCAAAATTTACATAATGTATGGCCAGCTTGAGGCTCCATTCACACGACGCTTGCATTTTCCGTGTAGAAAAGCATGTGGCATGAAAACGCGCAAATCATTAACCTGCACATGGATTCCGCACATTTGCGCCTATTAGTATAGGTGGAACGTGCAGTCTGCCCGTAAATCTCACATGGACTTTTTTGCGGGACGTGCATTTTCCTATTGCGCGGACGCCGCCCTTGTGCCAACAGTGCACATTGGAATGCATTGGTTTTTTGTTTAGTGTGTACGAACACGCGCAGAAAAACCTGAATGGAGCCTTAGTCTTTCCTGGAATTCAAGTCTTCCTGTAACTCCCCTTGTGGAACTGATATATTAAACCAGTTATCTGTTTTTTTTCTAGATTCCTTCTGTGAATGTTTTCCTATGTAATAGAGATTGGAAGTAAGGGGTTTGGGGGGGAGGGGGGGAGGAGGGGGGAGCTGTGTTAGTAGACCAGAGTCCATAGTGACAACTATGGCTCCCTCCATGGATATAGTGGGTTGAGCGTAGCTATCTGAGCACAGGGTCACCAGGTGAATATAGGAGTAAGGCGCTTTTTTTTACCCCTCTTCACTTCTGTCAGCTATGGGGCTACAACAACTCTGAATGCTGCTCAGTTTTAGAAACTCTCAGCTACGGTGGACCAAGCTGTGGTAGCCCCCAGAGCAGATAAACTCCTTTTTCTGGGGGAAGAGTGAAGATGTGATGGATTTGCCTTTTAGATACCATCATCCCCGAAACTCACTAGGTATGAGTGCTTCATAGAGAGCCTTCCACAAAGAAAAATAACTGCATTAGAAGCAATTGTCATTCTGATCTCTAGGCTGCAGCCTTTAAAGTACCTCCTGCTCTCATTTGACATCACTGCTAGCATTGCCGCTAATACACAGCCCAGGAGTCAGGATAGCAGCTTCCAAGTTTTTAAGGTTTTCTGTGTAATTGATGCTGGGTGATGGAGAGGTGAGCACTTCCCCTTCGGTGCTGTATGTGGTAGCTGAACATTTACCGCTAGTGTCTTTCTTTATACTAAATTGTCACATGGGGGGGCTTAGGCGGCTCCCAGATATAGTTCTAGCACCCACATGCTCTTATATGCTTCCATTTGCTCTATGTATCTTATGTAAGAGATGTGCGAGATACTATTGTGTATGAATAAGCTTCTTCCTGACTTCTGTCTTCCGTATGTGTCTGAACGAGTGAATGTTTGGTGTGCCATTAGAGCTTCTGAACTTGTCTGTCGCTTCGCCGCTTACTCCAACTTTTCTTCTTCCGAGGCTCAGTTAAGGGAAACTACTTTTAAAAGCCTTATTCTGTGAGGGGAAAAGAAGTCGTAGACATGGTTAAATAGCAAAATGTATCCACACCTTTCTTGCCCCTCTGCTTTATTTCTTCCTATAGCTGAGGTTAAAAAAAAAACGTGCCTAGAAATCTGTGCGGTAAATAAACATCCGGTTTGTCTTGTATGGCGTTGTTTGGTCCCCCATTAAAGCCGTGTATAAAGTTTACTTATTGCTCTTCACTTCATTTTTATTTTTCCATTTTAAATGTATCTCTGAAATTTCAAGCTTAAGAATTGTGAATTCTGTTACCTTTTTTTGTTTTTGCTTTATCCATATTTTGCCATATTTTTGTGTTCCATAACCCATCTCGCAGACCCTGTTGCATTACATCTCTTCAGAATGAGTGGAACACCACCCTTGGTTCTAACCGCATGAGAAGTGATGTAATCATTTCCGCTAAAGCAGGGATGGTCAACTCTGGCCCTACAGCTGCTGTGGAACTACAAGTCCCATGCGGCATTGCAAGACTGACCATTACCAACATGACTCCCAGAGGCAGAGGTATGTTGGGATTTGTAGTTAAAGCACAGTTGGAGGGCCAAGTTGCCCATCTGTGCTCTATAGAATGCTCTCTGGAGGGCTGGGAACTGGGCATCTAGTAAGGGAGTTCTATGCCCACCCCGGTCCTGCCTGCCTTCTGCTCTTTTAATCAGTCACTTGTTGCTTGCTCTCCACATGCAGCTGTCAATGATTCAGAAGGCAGGACATGGCAAGAGCCAGTTTCCTTGTGATCGTCTCTGCCTCCTAAAAGGGAGGAGCCAGCAGAGATCAAGCCAAGAGGTCATAGAAAATTTTGTATCCTGCTACTATGACTTGCTGGAAAACTTGAGGGCTTGTCCACACCAATTGTGGCGCGTTCCAGAGCGGTAGCTGCTGGAACGCACAACAATCGCGCACTAAACTTCCCCCTTCGTTCTGGGGCGGGAGGGGGGCGTGGCGGTGTATTGAAGTCTATGGCATTTTTTTTTTGCGTTCGCATTGGACCGGAACATACTCGATGTTTTGCCACACGTCTGATCGCACTGGGAGTGTGTGGCTGAGGTGCCATTGACTTCAATGCACTGCCACGCCCCCTCCCGCCCCAGAATGAAGGGGGAAGTTTAGTGATTGCTGTGCGTTCCAGCAACTACCAGTCTCGAACGCACCGCAATTGGTTTGACCGGGCCCTCAAAGTCACAAGGCTCCTAGTTTTGCAGGTGTACATACACTATTTTTAACTTGCAATTTCAGAGTGCTTTAAAAAAAAAAAAGTAGTGTGCCGCCATGTAAGTGACTAGCAGGGCACATGGGTTTTTGTTATCCTCCTGTTCTTAGAACTCCTTGTGCCACTCTTGGCACTGGTCAAACATACATTTTTAGGCCTCTAGACGAGCGAGCAAAGGCGGTTACCTACATAAGAAGCTATATTACGTTCCTTAGTTTTTAAAGCCGGCTATTTCGTTTTTCAGGTCGCGGAGGGCCCCCAAGACCTATGCGAGGGATGCCACAAATGAACAGTCAACAAGTCAATTAAGTCGTTGGAAGGAAGGCTTGCCCACCTACTGGTGTTTAAAAGCGTTAACTTGTTTTGTTTTTTTACCCCCCCCCTTGCCAGGATATCTGTGTAAGGGACTGTTTTATTATTGCCTGGTTTAAGATGAGATTACAGTTGTCAGCCTCTACTCTTTACCTGGATATGTAAAAACTTCTATCACTCGTAATGCTGCACGTTCTTCTGTACGTCAGTAAAGAACCCGTGGCAGCTTTCCTGGTCATGAAGGACGAGACACTCAAATGGTTTTTCTCATTAAGTTTTTCCGGTTAACTATTGAATTTCTGCCTTTGTAATTAACCACTTAGGGCTTAAGCTGGGAATGAATATGGACCCACTTTAGACCCTGAATCCTTAAATGATCAGAATATACTGGGCATTACTAGGCCTACTTTCCTGACCAACTATATATGTGGCAGCAGGATTGATATGTCTATCCTGCCATGCCTCGGGCCTGCACTGATATTGTGCTCCATCTCTCTATCATTTGGGATCAGACTCTTTCATTCGTTTCCCAGCTTGAGAACGTAATCATCCGTTATAGGATCATTTGAAGGACATACTAGAAAGGTTTGTGTGTACATTCAAATGGATTATAAGTTCCCTGCGCTTAGTAGTTCCATGTTGGATAAGCCACAGAACTTCTGCTACAGAATTGCCAAGGGGCCCCCGTCTTCTCATGGTTTGGATCGTTTTTAAACTGCCATTTTTATGGTTTGTATCCCCTTGGAGGGAAACCAGTAGCCCAGCATTTAAAAGATCAATTGTTTGGAACAGAGGCAAATAAAAACGTGTTTATATAAAGTGGCTGTGTGGAGTGAATGTTTCTAGTTGCAATGGATGTGGGTCCTGTGTTCATTTGTCGTTTATTAATGGAAACGGGCAAAAGGAAATTGGAGTTAAAGTGAAGTACCCCACAGTGGGCTTTACTTAAAGGAGAACTATGAGGGGGGTGCTTTTCACTCACCTCATAGTTCTAGCCAACCTGTGACAATGAGACTGTCACAGGTCGGCTTAGTAGATTGGGAGGTGAGTGAACACATACCGGCGTTCGCTCACTTCTCGATCCTGTCACGGCTCTCTGCCGTGACAGGGGAGGGGCTGGATTCCCCTCTCCCCGCTCCGATCTGCCAGCGCTGACTGTTGGAACGGATGGGGGAGGGGGCGGGTACAGCTGCCTCTGGATAGGCAGAGCCAGCTGTCACTCATGCAGCTGGGCGGATCCAGACATAATTGTCGGGATCCGCTTCAGCTGCGGCATCTCAGTATACCGCGAGCAGCAGCTCGCGGTATACTGAGCCTAGTGTGACGGGAGGACGCTAGTTTGTGTCCTCCCGTTACCCTAAGGAGAACTATGGGGAAAAGACTTAACCCCATAGTTCTCCTTTTAAGCAGAGAACCTGCCCTAGTGACTAATCAGATTCCTAGTTTATTTTAGACTAAAGGTGGCCATACACTTTACTTTCGTCTTGCGAGGGTTGTAAAGTAATTTTTAATTTTTTTTTACGATCTGCCCATCTTGAACAGGCAGATCGTACTTGCGATCATCGCTTCCGATGACTGCAATGCTGAATGGGCAGTGTGCGTGTGCAGCATTTGTCGGCACACCGGCCCGTTCGGCATTTGTCTCCTGAGCATGCCACAAACATGCTCGTTAGACAAAAGACGTGTGACCGTACAGTAGAAACGGTCGCACGCCTTCCATACACTCTGCGATTATCGTACGATAATTGCACAGTGTATGGGCACCTTAAAGCTGGACACACACACACACACACACACACACACACACACACACATTTTTCACACAAACACACACACACACACACACACACACACACACACACACACCTTACAACCATCACAAGACCATTGTCTTGCAATGGTTGTAAGGTAATTAAAAAAAAAACGTACGATCTGCCCATCTTGGACAGGCAGATCGTACTTGCGATCATTGCAGGCACGCCCCGCTGAGTGGCGGGCTTCCGATGACCGCAATGCTGAACGGGCAGTGTGTGCTTGCAGCATTTATCTCACTATCATGCTACAAACCAGCCGAAAATCGTACGATTCTCGCCTGCTTTTCAAACATGCTCGAAAGACAAAAGTCGTGCTACTGTACAGTAGAAACGGTCGCACGCCTTCCACACACCTTGCGATAATCGTACGATGGCGTGATTTCCTGTGATTATCGCAAGGTGTGTGGGCACCTTTAAATTGGACCCTATGATAGCTGTTTAAGTGCACTGCTCAAAAAAAATTAAAGGAACACTTTTTTTTTTTAATCAGAGTATAGCATCAAGTCAATGAAACTCCTGGGATATTGATCGGGTCAGTTATGTAGCAGAGGGGCTTGTTGATCAGTTTCAGCTGCTTTGGTGTTTATAAAATTAACAGGTGCACTAGATGGGCAACAATGAGACAACCTCCAAAACAGGAATGGTTTTTACAGGTGGAGGCTACTGACTCCCCCTCCATCTTTTCTGACTGTTTTTCACTAGTGTTACATTTGGCTAGAGTCAGTGTCACTACTGGTAGCATGAGGCGATACCTGAACCCTGTAGAGGTTGCACAGGCATGCCAACTCCTCCAGGATGGCACATCAATATGTGCCATTGCCAAAAGGTTTTCTGCATCTCCCAGCACAGTCCCAGGAGCATGGAGGAGATTCCAGGACACGGGCAGTTACTCTATGAGAGCTGGACAGGGCTGTAGAAGGTCCTTAACCTATCAGCAGGACCGGTATCTGCTCCTTTGTGCAAGGAGGAACAGTATGAACACTGCCAGAGCCCTACAAAATTACCTCCAGCAGGCTACTGGTGTGAATGTCTGATCAAACAATCAGAAACAGACTTCATGAGGGTGGCCTGAGGGCCTGACGTCCTCTAGTAGGCCCTGTGCTCACTGCCCGGCACCGTGGCGGTCGGTTGGCACTTGCCATTGAGCATCAGAATTGGCAGGTCCACCACTGGCACCCTGTGCTTTTCACAGATGAGAGCAGGTTCACCAGGAGCACATGTGACAGATGTGAAAGGGTCTGGAGAAGCCATGGAGAACGTTATGCTGCCTGTAAGATTGTTCAGCATGACTGGCTTGGTGGTGGGTCAGTGATGCTCTGGGGAGGCTTATCCATGGAGGGACACACAGACCTCTACAAGCTAGACAATGGCACCCTGACTGCCATTCGGTATCTGGATGAAATCCTTGGACCCCTACGCTGGTGCAGTGGGTCCTGGGTTCCTCCTGGTGCACGACAATGCTTGGCCTCGTGGCGAGAGTATGCAGCAAGTTCCTTGAGGATGGAGGAATTGATACCATTGAATGGCCCCCACGCTCGCCTGACCTGAATCCAATAGAAAACCCCTGGGACATTATGTCTCGGGCCATCCGAAGCCGCCAGGTTGTACCTCAGTCTGTTCAGGAGCTCAGTGATGCCCTGGTCCACATCTGGGAGGAGATACCCCAGGACACCATCCGCCGTCTCATTAGGAGCACGCCCCGAAGTTGTCAGGCATCCGTACAAGCACATGGGGGCCATACAAACTAATGAGCACCATTTTGAGTTGCTGCAATGAAATTTCAGCACAATGGACTAGCCTGCTGCATCATTTGTTCAGCATTATAACTGAAAGGTGTAAGACTTCCTATGTCCCACAATGGACTCAAACAAATACCAATGACACAACATTGAGAAGAAGATTGTGCTTTATTTGTGCAGGGCATTTCCTCTTTTACAGTATAGACAAACACGAAGAGGGGAATTTATCAAAACTGGAAAACCGTTTACCTGAATCTGACTTGGTATTAGCCTCTTACAGTGTCTATGCAGCAGAGCTCCGACTGGGGAAGAGCGAAGCGGCACAAGAAGCCAGTCTGTTTGCTGCAATGCTCATGTCCTAACAAGGAATATGGTATTAGAAGGAGACTGCTGAGCGCCAGGGAGAGGATCTCATCAGTCTGCTGCTTGCTTTTTCATTGTCCAATCACAGACTTGGGGGCGAGACAAGACCTGTAGGTGTTCCTTAACTGCAGCAGAGTAATATTGGGTCTGCTGCCAGAGCAGTTTTCATCTCAGAACTGGGTGGAGAGGAACATAAACCCTTTGGCAGGTAAAACAATTTTCTTTATAACCAGAACATAAGCACGGTTATCGCAAAAACAAATGGAAATGTTTGTATACGAATGCATTGTTGTGGGTTCCTGGGGGCTCGGGAAGTGTGCGCACCAATTGATGTTTATTGGCTGTACAAAATACCATTATCCGCTGCCAAACCTCAGAGGCTAGGCCAGTAGTGGTGAACCTTGGCACTCCAGCTGTGCCAAAACTACATATCCCAACATGCATCTGCCTCTGGGAGTTGTGGCTGTCAGAGCCTTGCAATGCCTCATGGGACTTGTAGTTCCAAAACAGCTGGAGTGCCAAGGTTCGCCATCACTGGGCTAGGCGATCTGAAGGAAGGAAAACCACATGGAGGCTCCAGCCATAATCGTGAAGTCCTGTAGGCTTTCTTTTTATCTGTCTGCTGGTCACCCGAAATCTGAGGCCTGAGATGGCATGCATGCTCTATGGACGTGTATGCCACTCCCCTCAGTAAAAAGGGGGACTGTTTTTTTGTTTCCCAATCTTATTACTCGGAAAGAGATCATAATGCAGATAATGAGTACACCCCTGCCATGCCCTCAGGTACAGTACATGGACGACAAAGGGTTAACAGGCTAAAATATGATTGGTTAAACCTGAAAGTGTTTTGTTTTTTTTTTCACTAATTTTTTTATACTGGCTTTTCAAAGTACCACATTTAGTAATTTCCAGGTTAGTGCGCCCTTTCCCAGCCAGGGTGACGTCTGGCTTTCTGAGGGGTGCCTGGAAATGTTCACAGGTTCCCGCCTTTCCATGCTGCGGGCATGCGTGAAAATGAATGGTGCTAATCCAGAAAAGGGCGGACGTTTGCCTCTGCCAAGCTTCTGCACACGTGGCTCCTGATGTGAAAGGAGGGCTCTCTGTGGAAGGGGACTCTTGATGTACAGCCCTATTTCCGAAAAAGTTGGGACGCTGTGTAAAGTCGACATAAAAACGGAATGCAATGATCTGCAAATCTCATAAAGCCGTATTTTATTCACAATAGGAAATAGAAAACATATCAAATGCTTAAACTGAGGTGGTGGGGGCAATCTGTGAATGGGGGGCTTTTAAAGTGAAGGGAGGACCCTGTGAAAGGGGTCCTCTAATGTAATGGGAAATGCAGATCTGAAGGTGGATCCATTTTTTTTTTTTGCTTCTGTGTGAGGTCCCCCGTCCTAAATTCATTACATGTTAGACTCGGGTGCCTCGAGATTTTTCATACATTTGATGGGTGCTATGACTGAACACTGGACTGAAAAATGCTCCTATAGTGTTACACAAGTAAAAGCTTTGAGTCTGCTGAGGCTGCTGACATCACATCCAAAATGGCGGCACCCGGCAGCAGTCTCAGGCATTTTAGATGATTTTTCCAGGTAAATATGCCTAGAATATGTTTAATGCACATATGTGGTCGGCATACCGGGTAACTCCGTTGCTGAGGCATTGCCAGAATCAATTAAATCTGCAGGATAAACAATGAGGGAATTTATCAAAACTGGAGCAGGCAAAATCTGGAGCAATGTGCATGGCAACCAATCAGCTTCTCTGTCTCATTCTTAAAGGAGAACTATGAGGTGAGTGCTTTTCACTCACCTCATAGTTCTAGCCGACCTGTGACAGTCTCATTGTCACAGGACGGCTAGAACTATGAGGTGAGTGCTTTTCACTCACCTCATAGTTCTAGCCGACCTGTGACAGTCTCATTGTCACAGGACGGCTAGAACTATGAGGTGAGTGCTTTTCACTCACCTCATAGTTCTAGCCGACCTGTGACAGTCTCATTGTCACAGGACGGCTAGAACTATGAGGTGAGTGCTTTTCACTCACCTCATAGTTCTAGCCGACCTGTGACAGTCTCATTGTCACAGGACGGCTAGAACTATGAGGTGAGTGCTTTTCACTCACCTCATAGTTCTAGCCGACCTGTGACAGTCTCATTGTCACAGGACGGCTAGAACTATGAGGTGAGTGCTTTTCACTCACCTCATAGTTCTCCTTTAAATCTTACCTGAGCAAACTGAAGAGAGATGCTGATTGGTTGCCATACACAGCTACTCCAGATTTTGCCTGCTCATTTTGATAAATTCCCCGCAATGTGTTTGTGACGTCATTCTAGCGAGTCATATACGCTGCGCTGTCTGACGCGCCGCCATGGAGAAGAGGAATGGCCTCTACGAAATATCTGGGCACGTGTGCGCACTGGTTGTACTGTTTTGTGGGAAACCTGAACACTCTGAAAGGCGTACAACCAGTTGCCCTGATCGGGGTGAGTGGGGACACCACCAGCACCAAGTAGTAATGTGTTTGTCTTGATTCTTAAAAACGCTTACTGGAAGATTGTTATTATGCCACCACAGTCTCTTTATGCTCATTTTACTTTGAAGATAATTTAGTAGCTGCTCCATCAAAAGCTCCAGAACCAGGCACCATTGCAGGCAGATTCGACACTAGTACCGTCCAAAATCCAAAACAAAAATGATAAGAAATTTAAACACCACGACGCATTCAGAGCCATGTGCCACGCATGAAAGAAAATGTGTTCCTGAGAGTCGGCCATTTTCTAGTAGGCTAACATGCAGAGCAGTGACTGCAGGCGGCTACAAGAAAATGGCGCCCGGAGTGCAGACCGGTTTTTATTAAGTGACGTCACGAAGCCGACTCTGACTGGAAGGACCCCGGTGAAATTTGTCAGGCACTGAAGGGCAGCCCTGGTCCTTCCTTACTGTGCACATGGTACATGTGAGCGACGCTGGCTGCCTGAATACAGGGTATGTAATGGGGTAAAGTGTGCGATCTGTGTACAGGTCAGAGTGCGGATCACAGGCTTCACAAGTCGGCTAGAACTATGAGGTGAGTGAAAAGCACTCACCTCATAGTTCTCCTTTAACAACAATAGTTCACTCGGCTGTAGATCCTCAAATCATCTCTGAATTGGTGCTGACACTTTATTATTATTTACCTTTATTGCTGCATTATGGTCAAACAACATACATACCCAGAGAATCCAGCACTGTCTTGCTGTGATCTGCTGCTGTACGCCATGTCCCGTGCCGCCATCTTTTCTTATGATGTCTTCAGGAGGCGGTTGTCCCTTCAGGGTTCTTGCAGCCGGCTCCCCGATGGCGCGCTGCCATGCCCTTCCTCTTCCAGGCTGATGTCTTCTGGGATCTCTGACATGATTATCTCGGGGTGCAGCTGGAGCAGGGTGGGTGTCATTCTCACCTAGGCAAGAATGCTGATGGGGCGGGCTTGTCAGTGTTTCTTTCTTGTCTAAACGATTGTACAGCCCTGCGGAATATGTTGGCGCTATATGAATAATTGTAATTGGGGAGTCTGAGCAAGAAATTATAAACATTTAAATTGTGGAAAGGGGGCGGCGGCTAATCAAGATGAAAAGTGACTTTTGAGAGTGACGGTATGACTTATAATAGTTGCTGGTCTCTTATGGGTATCTAAGGGGTGGGGAAGGGATGTAACCCCAGCCATGTTCTTATTGCTGTCTGTGTCCCTGTTGGGGAGATTTACAGTCTTTGTGTGTCCTGGTGACCATTTATTAGAATGTAGAATGGACTTTGGATATTTGTACTTCTTATACCAATTTAGAATTCAGCATTCTATACGGTGTACCTATTCGCCTTTCCTTTGTATTATTATTATTTCAGTACTGAAGAAGGGGGAGATTGTATGACCCCCTGAAATGTGTTGGCTGTTTTGTGTTATCTTGCACCAGTTTTTATCATTAAATGATTTTGGACTCTGGGCCATTTATTTGGAGCTCTCATTAGACTGTGCAAGCACGGATTCTCAATTCTGGGTGTCACCCCACTCCCTTTGAAGGAGTGCCCCTGCTTTGTGGAGAGCTGCCGAGCTGGAGCTGCTGTGCCCAGACAATTTAACTGGCACACCGAATCTTGCATCCGGCATCTCATTTTCCCTTTCGCTGGTGACCATTATCACCGTGATGGCAAATCCAAAATACAGTTGTCTCCAGAACAACAATAGAGGAGGAATCTTCCAATGGGGACACGGATCCTGGAGACAACTGAGAAGGGACAGAAAGTGAAAGGAAGTCTCTCCGGGCACAGTGAGCAGCAAGAAAACTGACCAGTGTTTTAAACATTTCCCACTCTCTCCAAACCAACAGCGTGAAGGAATCCCCACCCCCACTGGGCTATTGTATTCTGATAGAGGCAGGGGTGCTGCTGTCAGAATATCCAGTGACTGCAGCTGATTGGAAGACATTTTTTGGAATGGCTGCTCAAGTTGATCATATTTTATTTTTATTTTCCCTAACAAGACGGGTCCTAATGGGCCTGCACACTTGTTGAGCTCCTGCAGGACTCAACAGAAATCCGACCATGGTATAGCCAGCATTGTTGCCTTACTTCTCCACCCAGCCAGTCGCCGTGATCGCTGTATATTGCTCTAGATATGATGTGATCTATTTTTCTATTTGGAGATAACCATTAAACATTTGTTGTCTCCTGGAATTGCCGAGAAACACAGAAATCTCTTTGTGATTGTGGGGGATTATGGGAAAGATCAGGTAATGGCATTTAGTTATATGATAGGTCATGTGACCTGCACTGTTTGTGTTATGGGGCTGCCGCCTTTGATACTCGGCAAATCGGGAAGAACTCCCTTTATATCATTTATTATTTATATAAGTTACGCAATGTGAATAGGAACATGTAACAAATATAAAACAAGATGTCAATTTGGCTGCTACAGTGGTAACATATTTAAAGCAGAGATTGAAAAGCATCTGTTATGACTGATTTTTCAACACTTCCAGGCATGTGAACTTCCCCCTCTCCCCAGGTACTGTTGTCACCGTGTTTCCGTTCTGTTGTCACCTTTGCAAGTAGACTAAAATCTCCCAAGATCCCTGTGAAAGCCACTACCCAGCAAAGCCTGCCAGAGGGTTTATTATGCAGAAGCTTATACAGCTGATCTTGGGAGATTTGTTCACTTGCAGCAGAAACAGTCATAGCATAGTGTGGAGAGGGTAGGCCGGAAGGTTCGAGGCTCCTGGAACTGTTGATTTTTAGTCTTTTAATTGTAACGCTGATAACTCTGCTTAGGCAGACAAATGAGCGGTACTGTAGGTATTCAAGTAAAAATAAAACTGCGCCCTCAGTGCAGAAAAGAAAGCATTCCAATAGTCTCAAATAGGAATGCACCGATACAAGTATCGGTGCCAATGCCGAGTATTTGGGCGAGTACCCATACTCGCCCAATTGCTTCGATGCCTATCCCAATACTTCCGGTATCAGGAAGCCGGCTCCATGCTTTCTCATCACTTGTGACGAGAGAGCATGGAGCCGGCTTCCCGGCCAATTAGGAAGCCGGGCAGCGTGTAATGACGAGCTGCCCGGCTTTCTGATTGGTCGGGAAGCCGGCTTCATGCTCCCTCGTCACCTCATGACGAGGGAGCATGGAGATGGTTTCCCGGGCCAATCAGGAAGCTGGGTGATGCGTCATTACACAGTGCCCGCCTTCTTGATTGGTCAGAGAGCTGGCTCCATGCTTTCAGGAAGACGGTGGCGAGTCATTACACGTTGCCTGGCTTCCTAAATGGGACATCCGGTATTGTGTATTGGCAAGTAGCGAAAGAAAAAAATCGGTACTCGTTCTCAATACCGAAATACCGGTATCCGTGCATCCCTAGTCTCAAATGAAATTAATAACAGCAGGGTTGCATGCTGATGTGAATTTTAGTTTAAAGGGGCTAAAGGTCTACTTAAAAATGTAGTGAAGTAAGGATAAGGATGCCGTCCCTGGCACCTGCACCTTCTAACACAAGTTGGCAATGAAAAATTGGAAGAGTTTTGCCCCGTGTGTAGCGCTCGTCAGGGGTAGGGAGGGGGAAGGCGAGGGTAACCAGATGTGCTGGGTGAGTGCACCGGTTGTGGCTGGAACGTGAGGGATTTGGAGAGTTGGTTAAAAACGGGGTTCTCTTTCTTATTGCGGGTGTGCAGCTTCCGTTAAGTTCGGATCGGGGTGTCCAAAATGTGTACTGTGAAAAACAAAATTGGAAAGTGGAAGTGCCACTACCTGGCGCGGAGTGAAGCTAGTGTAAAAGTAATGAACTCACCTGTGGCAGGGTGAGCGTTTGCAAGTAACCCCCTAGGTGGGGTGAAGCGGTGGATTCAGTCCCTCTCTTGCTGGGTAGTGCAGATGGAGACACAAGGATAGAACAGCCAGGGGGTGAGGTAACATGGTAGGCCTAGGGCAGGGCCCTCCTTACCATTTTGTGTTGTATTGTGATTGTAATGTCTTCCTTATATTGTAAAGCGCTGCACAAACTGTTGGCGCCATATAAATCCTGTACAATAATATTTTCTTTTCAAATCAAATGTAATATTACATTATGGCCATTAGAGGGAGCTGAGGAGCATAGGACATTTCTTATGCTCCTCCACTCCCATCTGGTGACCATAATGTGGTATTAGGTTACATTTGACCTAGTGAAGATGTACTAAGAATGCTCTTTTTTGCCTCTATTCGCACAGAATGAACATTCTCAGCGATTTGCAGGGTAAATGGTTTTGCAGATTTATAATTAAACCCCGATGTGTATTGTATGGTATGTGTCAATTGCCTTGTAGGATTGTAATGTAACAGTGTTCTTCTCCGCAGGTGGTCATTCTCCATCACATGCTCTCCAAAGCTGCAGTCAGAGCTCGGCCCTCTGTACTATGGTGTTACAAGAAAGAGCTGGGCTTCAGCAGGTAACATATCCAAACTTGTATAATACATAACAAACGTCAGCTTCCATTGGTCTGTCTGTGCTCAGCGGCTCCTTTTTGCACTAAGGTATTAAAATTGAACTCCGGTCTTCCCTTCAGCCTTGCACAATTGTAGCGGCTCCTCTCCTGGACTACAATTACTTACTCTGATTTCACTGCACACTGTGAGCTTCTCACGGTGCCTAAAATAAGATCATGAAAACAACAAAAGATTTAATTTTATCAGTGTGCTGATGAGAGCAGAAAGGAGGAAACTCTGGCTTTAAAGTATAATTAAAGTCCAAACCTTTTTCTAGATTTACGCTGGAATTGGCTTGAATTTTCATTTGATTCCCGCTGCATAGGCCAGATTTTAAGCAGTGGAGGCGCTGCAAGCATCACCCGACTAATCAAAAGTTCATCTAAAATTTGATTGAGTGGAAAGTTATCAACCAAACATCCTATCAGATGATGTCACAGTTCAGGTATTCAGGCAGCTGTGGTAGTTGTGGCTGCTAAGTACAATAGCCATCAGTAGAGGTTCCTCCATCCATACTGATTAGCCTGGATGGGGGAATCCATTGATTCTCTCTTGTTCAGCCAGCAAGCTGAGAAGCAGACTGGAACATAATGGAAGACGGGTGGAACTATCTACACTGAGTGAAACCTTCACTATGAGGAGGGGTAGAGACAATTCCAGAGACAGAGAAGGCGAATAATATTTAAAGGCATATTACAATGCATGTGTAACATGACAGTGCATGCATGATCTGCACAACTGTCACTCTAAAGCCCCGTTCACATTGCGCGATTCGCAAATCGCGTGTTTTGCATTTTGCGCGATATCGCGCAAATGCTTGCATTGAGCAAGCGAGAATCGCGGCAAAATCCGCTCCAAAAAGGGTCCTGCTGTAGCGACACACGACTCGCAACAGCAGGCCCCTTTGCCCCATTGAGATGCATTGAAGAGCGATATCGCGCGGTAAATAGCCGCGATATCGTGGGAATTACCGCGCGATAATTCGCTCAATGTGAACGGGGCCTAATTGTCATTTGTAGGTGTATACAAATGATCGTAACCATAGAATGAGCAACCGTCAGTATACTGTCCAGCGTGTTTAACATTTACAAATTAATTTAGTTACGTACATTTCTGACTTCCTCTCCCGAGCTTCATTCTTCTTAATCTTTGGAGTTGGCCAGCAAAGAACAAGCAGCAAGAGGCTGCAGTCCTGCCCAAAGCCTCCTGTAAACCCTTGTCACACCATGATGGAATTGTTCAATAGGGAAGCATTGTACAGTGCCTTGTTTTTATTACTTTACCACTAACCCGCCTCTGAGGAGTTGCTGTGTGACACGATCCCTTTTATTTCGCAGTAACCGGAAGAAGAAAATGAGGAAACTGCAGAAAAGAATAAAAAGCGGCACGCTGAACATAAAGGAGGACGACCCGTTTGAGCTGTTTATTGCCGCCACCAACATCCGCTATTGTTATTATAACGAGACCCACAAGATTCTGGGGAACACTTACGGCATGTGCGTCTTACAGGTATGTCTTCTACTCAACCGATTGAAGCTGCTCCCCGGACGACTGCAGTCCCTCCTCTCTGTGGGTGCACTCTACGTATGTCTCTTACCTAGATTCTTCTCCCTGTCACTCTCAGGCCATTCACCTACCTGTGAGTTTATCATTCATGAGGGACAAAGTTCCTCAGGAGTTGCAAAATAGACAAAATGGTGTTCCCTCCCGTGTATGGGGGTACACTTCACTGTTTAATTACTTGATGCTTTGCATTGTTTGCATTCTAGGGGGCTGCCATATATATTAAAGAAGACGCCTCACAAGCAATGAAATGTTCTAGTTGGTCTAGTGAATATTGTTGAAATGTAAATCCATTCTTTTCCTCTCTCATTACTGCCTGCCGGCTCCCACATCTGTATTTTATTAATCCACAGATGTAAAAAAAAGGTAACAGAAAACAGCCAATGCGGTTCGGGGGCCAAAGTTTTTGTTGTATCTTTCATTAGCACTGATGGAGAGATTGTTTGGCCCCCAAAATGCGTTGGCTGTTTTTCGTTATCTTCTTTTTTACATCCGTAGCTTAGAAGGATACAGTTCTGGGTTCTTGACACGTGTGTGTGGCATAAATGTGAATTTCGTTACTGGGAAGGCCTTTGCTTTGTGGCCGAACAAAAGCTTTTTCTTCTATGGCCCAAAAAGCCGGGCCCAGCGTCTTGCTTTTATGTCTGCTTCAGTTTTTCTTGCAGCCCATGACCCCATTGGGTAGATTTACCTCACCTCCGGGCCCTTTGATGGCAGGGCATTAAATGAGGGGAGCGGGTGTCACGCTGGCAGGAAACATTAACATATAATGTGGTTTTCTCCAATTTGAAAAAGGGCAAATGCGCTCTAAGTCATAAGCAACATACCCGGGCCGTAAGAACCAATTCACAGTGCGTTGAAAGCAGGCGTCGTCGGTTGCATCAGTCCCATGTCACCTGTGTCTGTCTGTCACGTTCTTGGAGGATTGTTACGGTTAGTCTTTTTTTCTTTTTAGGATTTTGAGGCTCTGACTCCCAACTTGTTGGCTCGTACTGTAGAGACGGTAGAAGGTGGTGGACTTGTAGTGCTTCTTCTCCGCAGTATGAGCTCCCTCAAGCAGCTGTACACCATGACCATGGTATGTATGTCAGGGCCTGGGGCACCGCAGCGTTTCTGTCAGTAAGGAAATCATTTTGTGCAGCAACTCATTCCTTGTTCTCATTCTGTAGGATGTTCATTCCCGCTACAGAACAGAAGCACATCAGGACGTTGTGGGACGTTTTAATGAAAGGTAGATGATCTGTTCTGGATTTCAGTATTTTATATCTTGCTGTTCTCTTACTGTGCAGTGTTTTATGTCTTGCTGTTCTCTCTTTTTGTACCATGCTTTATGTCCTGCTGCTCTTACTGTACAATGCTTTGCCTTGCTGCTCTCTTACTGTACAATGTTTCATAGCTTCCTTCTGTTACTGTGCAGTGTTTTATGTCTTGCTATTCTCTCTTTTTGTACCATGCTTTGTCCTGCTCCTCTCTTACTCATGTGTCGTATATCTGTAACCTTTGGCACATTTGTTCATTTAATTTTGTGCACTGATATACTTACGATCTCCCACAGGTTTATATTATCATTGACCTCCTGTAAGAACTGTATGGTGATTGATGATCAGCTGAATATCCTGCCTATTTCCAGCCACGTTGCCAACATAAAGCAGATTCCACCAAAGACACAGGTAAGTGGGCAACTAAGAAAAATCTTACAACCTCTATAGTACTGTGTCTGCTTAAAGGGGAAAGATGTGTTCGGGGGAAGTCTCAAAGAAGTCAGCATAGTGTGCGACTCGTCCTTGTGCCCAAATTTGTAGGTTTTAGCCTGACTTCTGGTTCTTGCAGCGTGCACCTTTAAGTGAACCTGTTTTTGTCTATGCACAGCAGAGAAATAGATTAATGTAAAAGAGATGCTGTCACTTTCACCATTCAGGACGACGTACCCGTGTCCTTGTAAAGGGCCTGGCTGAACCCCTGGTGCACATGTTGCCAGTGCTCCCACTCTTTCTGTCACTATTAAAATTCCTAGTGCCGGAAGCCAAGGGGAGCGGTGATGTTACTCCCTTGGTCATGTTACAGTGCTCAGCTTAATGATTGGCTGCTAAACCTGAGCACTGTCACAGTTCTAGCAGCCAATCATTGCTCCCCCATACCCTGAAACGGGTATTATCCCCATCTGGGACAGAGGAAGGAGCCACAAGGGAGCACTGGTAAGGCGAGTATAACTTGGTCTATGGAGCACTTTACATAGATACTGTCACTTTGCTCTAAATAGGCCAGATGACAGTGTCTGTCTCTTTAAAGGCAAGCCTCACCAGTAATACTTCTCTTCCCCTAACTCCCCTGCTGCTCAGTTCCCAGTACTCTGGACACGAGGGGGCATATGACTCTCCTTGTTACTACATGGCAGAGGTGGCAGAAAACGTTCTCTGATGAACCGGGTAAAGGGCAGAAAAGGGAGTTAATTAGGACTAACTAAAAATAATACGGAGATAAAGGAGAATTTTATTAAAAAGCTTATTACCTGTTGGCATTGTCAGAAATGGCGTGACCTTGTAACTTTCCTGTCAGTTGATCTGAAAGCATTAACAAGGTTATCTATTGTGAACTACAAATGCCATCAATTCCTTTGTATTGTAGATGCACAAACTAACAACCCATCAACCCCAAAGTAAAGGAGATGAAAAAAGGCAGACATGTTTTATGTCCAGTTAAGTCAGCATGCAGCCAGTAAACCTCATGACTGCGTTAAAGACGTTTTTGGTTTATTAGCAATGTTCCGGTTATTAATTTCTTAAACTATATAATATGGTAGCTCTGTGAACCCATCCTCTGTGGCAATAAAGGGTTATGGTGCTGGATGGGTTGGACTGATGGTTGAAGTGTAGCCTGGGTGGCAACAGTGGCTCCCTTCATAGCTACAGTGGAGACTCCTGCACTGTAAAGGAAATGATGTGAGTTCTTTATATGATTGTCAGGGGAAAATACAAGGCAAATCCTAAAAAAAGAAAACCAATATACGTCATCTAAGGACTTGGAAGCTGCAATATATTAATTTTTGTTTTGGGGGTGTAGATACACTTTAAGGATATTGTGTAAGTTAGAAGTAAATCACAATTAAATTTTTATTCTGCAGTTTTCTTATTTCGTTGTCATTTTATATGTTGTGTTTGTTATAAGGTAGCGGTTATTCTGGGTATAGTATATTCTGGGCTTGTATGGCGTTTCAGCAGTATCTTTATCAATTTGTAATCATATCTTATTTTCAGGAGAGTAGCCTGACCCCGGAGGAGCAGGAGCTGCAGGACGTGAAGCTCAGTCTCCAGGACACGCAGCCGGTTGGGGTTCTGGTTGAAAACTGTAAGACGCTGGACCAGGTAAATCCGACTTTAGATTTACATTACAGCTTCCAGTGTAAGGTGCACTGTAAATAGACAGGTGCTCTTTATCATGTTTCATGTACACCTGTTTTTTGGGCAGTTTGAGCCACTGATATGAATAATGCCGATATTTCTCATGATGTGACGATTTATATGTGGAGCTTGAATAAACCAATTTGTTTTTTCTCCGGCATTCCTCCTCTCCCCAGGCCAAGGCTGTACTGAAGTTCATAGAGGCGATATCAGAGAAGACCCTCCGCAGCACTGTCACCCTGACGGCGGCTCGAGGTCGTGGCAAGTCGGCAGCGCTCGGGTTGGCGATAGCGGGCGCCGTGGCTTTTGGGTAGGATTTTCTTTTCCTTTTATTCCGTTTTGGTATATTTTGCTTTTTAAAGGTTTTTTTCGTTCATCTGCAGAAACCCAGATTTACTAAATTGTCTCTTGAAAGATGTGTGAGAGCTCTCCCCCTCGAGAGCAGATCTTTCTTGGTGCAGTGGATGGAACATGTCTTCCTTAAAGGAGAAGTATTGGGAGAGTAAAATGTAGTCTTCCCAATACTTAGAGCCGGCATTTGACACTGCAGCTGTCTCACGCCAGCTCTGTAGATCGAGAGCTGAGCGACCACGAACCACTTACCGCTCGGCTCACGACTTCTCCCTGAAGGGATTCCCCCCTCCCCTCTCTGATCCTCCGGTGCTCATTGGAGGGACAGACAGGGAAGGAGGCTCTAGGGAAGCAGAGCCCGCTGTCAATCAGACAGTGGGGTAGATCCTGATGTTTTGCAGGCTGGATGGAGATCTAGTGTACAAACAGTCCCAGGGAAGAAGTAAAGTCCATGAATTGCTTGGGCTATTCAGCAGTTATTGCAGCTTGGCTTTTGGTTTTACATCAATTAAGTTGCATCTTCATTTTATCAAACCCGGCACAACTATATTCAGTCTGCTTCTGAATGGGTCTGAAGCCTCCGGTTACATGCCTCTCTGCTCCTCCCTACCAGGGTTTCCATTGACGCTGCAGGAGACTAGAAATAAGAGAGTTGTTAAAACTAGAGAACACACTTGTCTAGATTCAGGGCTGTAGAAAAGATGAAGATACACACAACCGCTCAGACTTAGCTTCACACACAGCCTGCTGCACCACTTTATGTAACCAGAGGGTGGCGCTACGATTTAAATACTACAACTCTATCGGTTACTATGTCGCCTCCTTACCTCCGGCACTCAATGTGCTTTGAATGAGCATCACCACACTGGGGAAATCCTTCCTGTGCTCTCCTCCTGTAAGCAACATATACACCTCCCCGATCAGCCACCAGTGGCCTGAAACAAGTTTCGAGCACCGCCTTGTGCTTTATTGGCTCCCGGTGCCCGCAGTCCCGTTCTCAGACCAATTTTCATTGTGCTTTAAATATTATTTGGTTATATAAATCGTTTTCTGCAGAATATGCTATCAGTTTTCAGATGTTTTTGAATGAATGTTTGACTAAAATAAAGGTTAGATTTTTTCATGTATGTTTATACGTTGCCTGGGCAAAAAAAAAAGTCTGGATTTTGTGCAGTGTTACTATCTGGGGTTGCTTCAGTTGGTCAGGTCTAGGTTCAGCAATGTTATGTTCCCAAAATATGAGGTCAGCTGCCTCCTTGAATAATACTGAATGACCAGGTTTTTCCAGCAATGGATTATTTCTTCCCTGATGGCACATTGGGCATATTTCAGGATGACAATGCCAGGATTCATCGGGCTCAGATTGTGAAAGAGTGGTTCAGGGAGCATGAGACATTATTGTCACACATGGATTGGCCACCACACAGTCCAGACCTTACCCCCATTGAGAATCTCTGGGATGTGCTGGAGAAGACTTTACACAGTGCTCCGACTCTCCCATCATCACTACAAGATCTTAGTGAAAAAGAAATGCAACTCTGGATGGAAATAAATGCTGTGACATTGCATAAGCTTATCCAAATGATGTCACGGTGAATGCGTGCCGTAATCAAAGCTAAAGGTGGTGCAATGACTTATTAGAGTCGGTGACGGGTTTTTTTTTTGGCCAGGCAGTGTATTTATTTTCAGCTCTTCAGTGTTAGTTGGTCTGCTGATATACGATAAGCAATAAACATGGGTAACTTGATTAGATTTTTTTCTGCTTTCAGTTACTCCAATATTTTTGTGACTTCTCCGAGCCCGGATAACCTGCACACCCTGTTTGAGTTCATCTTCAAAGGCTTTGACTCGCTGCAGTACCAGGTGAGATGTCTAACTGTCTCCTCTGTGCTTTGTGTATTTCCCTCAAGCCTTTCATTTAAGGGCCAAGACCACGGTTTATGCGATCTTTAATTTTACAGCCACATCTAGACGGTAATACTCGCCCAAATGCTCCGATACCAGAACTTCCGGTATTATGAAGCCAGACGGCAAGTCATCATTACACGCCACCTGGCTTCCTGATTGGTGGGGAAGCCGGCTCCATGCTCCCTCGTCACCAGGGAGCATGGAGCTGGCTTCCTGGCCAATCAGGAAGCCAGGTGGCGTGTAATGACTTGCCGCCTGGCTTCCTGAGTGGCCGGGAAGCCGGTTCCATGCATCTTTGTCACTTAGTGACGAGGGAGCATGGAGCCGTCTTCTTTGACAATCTGGAAGCCAGATGGCGTGTAATGACTTGCCGCCCAGCATCCTGATTGGTCAGGAATCTAGGCGGCGAGTCATTACCCGGCTTACGGACTGCCCAGAAAGCTGGCTCCATGCTTCCTCGCCACCCGGTGGAAGATAATTGTATAACATGTTGAATGTTTCTTGCCTGACATTAAAGTATGTAACCCCTCTTTGTTTTTAGGAACATCTGGACTATGAGATCATTCAGTCCCTGAACCCAGAGTTTGAGAAAGCTGTGGTACGAGTCAATGTGTTCAAGGAGCACCGACAGACCATACAGGTGAGCAGAACATGACAAGTTTTGAAGTGGACCCACTTTAGTTGTTTAATATTTGAATGTTTTGGCCAGTAAATGCCAACTTCCTGTTTTTTTTTGTGACATTAAAATAGAAAACAGTATTTTTCTATGTTCACACCATTCATGCACGGTGGTGTGATCTGTGTAAAAATGCAGCATCTTTGTAATTTTACACACAGCCACATGTCAACGCACCGCAACATGTCACAATATACTGCGTTGCATAGAGTTGAATAAAATGTCCTTATGTGACATTTTAAAAAAGCTGAAACAAAAAAAAAATTGGGGAGATGGGTTGTAGCAAGACACCACCACTACCAATGCACACCAGTGGATACCCGTTATATTTGAGCATAATGTGTGCCCACTGTTGTGAACGGCCCCTGCAGGGATGCACTGCACTGTGCATTTAATGAATGAAACGTGAAATGCTCTTGCAGTGAGGAGTCCTGGCTTTCCATAGAGTGCTGAAATATTATCACTTCATTGATTGCACTGATCTTCAAGTGCTATAGTATTCATTAGTAACCAGTTTTGTTTCCTAAAAATCTTCATTATTGAACTCGGCAGAACTGTAAGTGTACAAACAAATTTGGGTTAATCCGGCTCCATTGTTCTTAAAGGGGTAAAAGGAATTTGTTTTTCCATCGCTGGTCCATCCTGATATCTCCATGTCAACATGCTAGTTAATAACTGTGCTGAGATATCACCATGTGGCATGCTGCAGTAAAGTATATGCCCTGCCCCTAGGAAGGATGGACACTAAGAAAAATGTGTTGCTCTTCCCCTTCTGGACCTTTTTAGAGTTGCTCTTCCCCTTCTGGACCTTTTTAGAGTTGCTCTTCCCCTTCTGGACCTTTTTTAGAGTTGCTCTTCCCCTTCTGGACCCTTTTGCACTTGCTCTTCCCCTTCTGGACCCTTTTGAACTTGCTCTTCCCCTTCTGGACCCTTTTGCACTTGCTCTTCCCCTTCTGGACCCTTTTGCACTTGCTCTTCCCCTTCTGGACCCTTTTGCACTTGCTCTTCCCCTTCTGGACCCTTTTGCACTTGCTCTTCCCCTTCTGGACCCTTTTGCACTTGCTCTTCCCCTTCTGGACCCTTTTGCACTTGCTCTTCCCCTTCTGGACCCTTTTGCACTTGCTCTTCCCCTTCTGGACCTTTTGGCACTTGCTCTTCCCCTTCTGGACCTTTTGGCACTTGCTCTTCCCCTTCTGGACCTTTTGGCACTTGCTCTTCCCCTTTTTGCACTTGCTCTTCCCCTTTTTGCACTTGCTCTTCCCCTTTTTGCACTTGCTCTCCCCCTTTTGCCACTTGCGCTTCCCCTTTTGCCACTTGCGCTTCCCCTTTTGCCACTTGCGCTTCCCCTTTTGCCACTTGCGCTTCCCCTTTTGCCACTTGCTCTTCCCCTTTTGCCACTTGCTCTTCCCCTTTTGCCACTTGCTCTTCCCCTTTTGCCACTTGCTCTTCCCCTTTTGCCACTTGCTCTTCCCCTTTTGCCACTTGCTCTTCCCCTTTTGCCACTTGCTCTTCCCCTTTTGCCACTTGCTCTTCCCCTTTTGCCACTTGCTCTTCCCCTTTTGCCACTTGCTCTTCCCCTTTTGCCACTTGCTCTTCCCCTTTTGCCACTTGCTCTTCCCCTTTTGCCACTTGCTCTTCCCCTTTTGCCACTTGCTCTTCCCCTTTTGCCACTTGCTCTTCCCCTTTTGCCACTTGCTCTTCCCCTTTTGCCACTTGCTCTTCCCCTTTTGCCACTTGCTCTTCCCCTTTTGCCACTTGCTCTTCCCCTTTTTGCACTTGCTCTTCCCCTTTTTGCACTTGCTCTTCCCCTTTTTGCACTTGCTCTTCCCCTTTTGGACCCTGATAAACATTTCTCCTGATCATGCCTGATGGATTCTCCGGTTCTAGCTGTAGCACCTGCTCCTTCTGGTCCTGAAGTATTTCTACCTGACTGCCAGCAGTATCACACAACCGCCCCCAAATTCTGGGATTCACTGTCAGAAATACTCATTGCAATCTGTCATTGCCTCTTATCAGAGTCAACCCCCAGATGGAAAGACCTTCTGCAGAAAAGCTACATGATATTCTATCTGCATATGGAGGTCTTCCATCCGGCTTCCTTGTCTGCCATGTCCTCTTTTGCCTGGTGGCTCTGTGTTGGCGTTGCCACTGGTCTTAAAGTGCTGCTCCATGGTAATAAATCTTTGAGTGCATTGAGGGGCTTTCCATCACATGTTCACATATTTTTGTGTGGCTCCAGAGCCATCAGTGGTTGGGGATAGCTGTCCTGCATCACTTGAACCTAAATTCTTGTGTTTGTAGTCTTATTCATGGTGAGATGGAAGATAATGGGCTTTTACCCTGCTTCTGATGTCTATTGAACTTCTCTGTTACACTGGAGAAAATGCCATCTGTTGACTTTTGTTAGACCTCTCCCCTTAGATTCAAGGATCCACTAGAATGATTGAATTGTCATTTCTCTTGGAGTAAAGCATGGTAGAGATGATGGTGTGTTATTTATCAAGGAGATGCTAATGTTCCTTTACTGTTGTCTTCATAGTACATCCACCCGTCAGATGCCGTCAAGTTGGGCCAGGCGGAACTGGTGGTGATCGATGAAGCAGCTGCCATCCCTCTGCCTCTAGTAAAGAGTCTTATGGGGCCCTACCTTGTCTTCATGGCATCCACAATCAATGGGTGAGTTCATTAGGAGGAGGAACTGGAGATGTAGGAAGTGTGGGATAGGGTAGAAAAGTGAAAAAAGCTTTATTTTAACTTGTATTACTTTAGAAAAGTGAAAAAAGCTTTATTTTAACTTGTATTACTTTTCTAGGTATGAAGGCACCGGCCGCTCCCTCTCACTCAAATTGATTCAGCAGCTCCGGCAACAAAGTGCAGAAAGTCAGGTCTCTAACACGGCTGAAAACAAAAACTCTAGCACCCATCACCTGGCATCAGGTAGGTAGAGTACTTTGTTCATGCATTGAGATAATCCCAGGTGAATTGGAATACATACGCAGTACCTGTTTTACCCGCTAAAGAATTTATACTTCTTTCCAGCCAGTCTTAGGATTTACACAGCCCTGCCAAACAGCACAGGCAGGTTGCTGACCTGGCATTTATACAGTTCAGCTTGGTCACCTCCCAGCACCCAGACAGTGATTAGACAGTGAAAATGCCCAGAAGACTGAATAGGTTACCTCTCTTTCCTTCTGTCAGCATGTTCCTTGTTGGGGCGGGTGAAGTCGTCGTCATCCTTCGTCAAGATCTTGGGGAATGTTCATAGGCCAAATCTCACAGGAATACGATCCTGCCCTGTGCTGCAACATCGTCTCGCAAAATTTTAGCTATTCTGCATTCCCCTGGGCCTGCCCAGATGTTGGGTTGTAGCCGTGTGCAGCCTCTTGTCATTGGGATGTACAGCTGGCTGCACACAGTTATACATTGCACCTGTCCTTCCCTGCACAGGCATGCATGTCATAGGGATGTGCACACCCATGTGAATGAGCCCTAAAGGAATACATGGAAGAATCTTGCAATGGAGAACAAAAACCCGAGACCATTTTTCTCATTGCCTATTGCAGACCTTTTTTTTTAAGCTTTTCCTTTGCCTACTTCTGACCTAAATGTACCCTAATTGGTTTTACATATAATTTATTTTAGTTTTTGTCCCTTCCTTCCAGCCCGGACCCTTCATGAAGTGTCTCTGCAGGAATCTATACGTTACGCTCCTGGAGACCCCGTGGAGAAATGGCTCAACGAACTTCTGTGTTTAGATTGCCTGAACATCACCAGGATCATAAGCGGCTGTCCTCTGCCTGAGACCTGCACTCTGTATCCTCCATTGTACCTTACTAGCACTATTACCTACTGACAGTACTGTGTCCATTTATTTTTGTGCACTGTGGGATCTGACAGACGGGAAGTTATATAAAATGATTCCCTAGGAAAACCAGTAACGATGGTGAAACTGAACTGACACATAGCAATCAATCCGGGTTCAGGGAAGTTAAAGCAGAATCCTGTATTTTTAACCCCTGGATGAGTGCAGTTCAGTGGTATAGTACTCTAATCCCTCGCTGCGTGATAATGCTGGGTCCATGACCTGGGTTCTGAGGAAGTGGGTTGAGTAACACTGGCTGTCATTGCCTCGAGTGAGACAACAGTCTGCTATGTTTGACTGTTAGCTTTAAAAACTTTGACAGGTTTTCTTTGCTCTCACTTGCCCATTCAGGGCAGCCCACTCACCCTGCAAGGTATGATTATGGGTCCACACTACCTTGCCACCTCTCAGCTGCAGAACATCACCGCCCCTCCCCATGTGACTGTTTCGAACATAGCAATTGGCAGGCAAGTCAAAAGGGGAGGGGACATACTCATAGCCAGAAGCCACACATCCTTAGAGCAACAGAGCGAGGGCACCGATGGAGCTCGATGGTAGTAAGGGAGTGTGCATGGGTCAATATATATTGCTGGGGGCGGGGTGGGCTACCAGCAGACATTTGCCATTTTGCTCTTATTGGGCAGGTAACGTAAAGTTAAAGTGTATCTCCACTTATATTGAGTATGGAAGGGTGTAAGAATGTTGGATAGTTTTCTGTCTGGGAGACCAATGGTAATGCAGGCAATGCTAAGCTGTCAGGATTCCTTTAGTCCCCATTCTATCCTAATGAAAAAGTAATTAATAGAAAGGTTTTGGTTTGTGTTGTACATTGGAGGGGGGGAACCTGTAGTAGTATTACAATTCTGTTTTGCAATATTCAGTAGTTGCACAAGATATACTTAACGTTCTGCATTAGATACTATGTAAACCGGGACACCCTGTTCTGCTACCACAAGGCATCCGAGTCGTTCCTGCAGAGATTAATGGCCCTTTATGTGGCTTCTCATTACAAGGTATGAGCTGCTAATTCTTATAGAAGAGATTCAGCATTTGAGATATATGGGAAGGTGTAAGTCAATGAATGTGACTATGGCTTTGTGTAATGTTCGTTGTCTTCACAGAACTCACCCAATGACCTTCAGTTGCTCTCTGACGCCCCAGCTCATCACCTCTTCTGCCTCCTCCCACCCGTTCCTCCTACCCAGAATTCCCTGCCAGAAGTCTTGGCTGTAATTCAGGTACCCACTGAGCAATTATATAGGATTGCAGAAAGGTTTATCGTAAAAGGAGATTGTTTTTTTTTTTTTTTTTGTGTAATGGAAGAAAGTCTTTGGTCATCTTTGCTGCCCATAGTAATGCCATTCACATGGAAGGTGGTGGTTGCTGTGGACAGCTCAGACACTTGTCTACTGTATCTCTTCCATTGACAAGCTGCTCTGTGTGTTTTCTGTAGGTCTGTCTGGAGGGGGAAATGTCACATCAGTCGGTCACAAACAGTCTATCTCGGGGGAAGAAAGCTTCTGGAGATCTCATTCCCTGGACAGTGTCGGAACAGGTATGTACTCCTCCCTGGGAGTTTATAAAGTATCATGTGAAGCTTCTGTATTCGGTGCCTTAGAATGGATTTAAAGTGACTGTCGTAAGGGTTGTATGGGGCTGTCATTGCTCACCTGTTTTTTGAAAATGCTTGCTCTGTGGCTGTGTCTGCCTTAAGTAGTTTTGAGTCCTAGACCCGGAACAAGCATGGTCTACATGAGTTATAGAAGCTGCTTGGTCAGCTTTGAAGCCAAAGCTTTAGTATGAAAGCCAGAAATCTAGCATTCTTAACAGGAGAGGTCAGCGATGGCAGCCCCCAATTAGCCTCTCATGATTGCTTCTCTTAAAGCCTCACTTTTTATTTCCTCCGGTAGTTTACAATGATAACGCAGTATCACTGATCTCTAACATTGCACTCCATTGCTGCACTACAGCCTTGCTGACAGCATGCAACCCCTTCCTCTATGGCCTGGAAGTCAGAGTCATACTCTCTGTAGACCAGAGTACTATTGATATCATCACTAGAGCCCTGCTGTTTTCATATGTCAACCTTCATGCTAATGCACCCACCAGATAATGCTAACTCCCCTTGAATGAGCACATATCTCCAGTTGCTGTCGGCCCAACCCACATACCTGATCACAGGAGTTGGATTTAACTATGACATCTGTTTTGTAATACTTTGTTTTCCTCCATTATTCAGTTTCAAGATCCAGAATTTGGAAGTTTATCCGGAGGAAGAGTTATAAGGATTGCTGTCCATCCAGACTACCAAGGGGTAATACATTTATGTTCTTTTCTGTCATCTTGGTAACGTCTGTAGCTCAGGGTTAGGCTAGCCATAGACAGATCGAATTTTGCCCTGTTGGTACCATTCGGCTTGACAAGTCAATTTCAGAATCATAAGAGCTGGGTGGAAAATTGTCAGCTGGGCCGTGACTGCATCCAATCTGATGCAGTCATCGGGTGTTCAGGCAGCCACGGGTGCCGCACCTGCTGAATACAACAGGCAGCAGTGTAGATTCCCCTATCCTCGCTATTTAGCTTGCAGGGAGGAATCTGCAGATTTGGGGGTTTTTTTCCATGGGAACGTCTTTTGGTCTTCAGCCTGGGTTGGAGCTACAGCCAGCACAAATATTTAAAAGATGTAATTTACCACACAATGGCCGTAGAAGGCTTGCACACCGTACAGGGCCTTTTATAAAGCAGCCCAGCTCTACTGTTAGCTTTTTAATGTATTTAATGTTTTAGTAAATGCTACAGGAAGAGTTCCTGGGAACCGAGAGAGGCCGTTTTTGCAGAGAGATCTTACTGCTCGAGAGATGCACTTAATGGCCAAATGTTTGTGGACAACTGACCATCACATTTCTATGAGCTTGTTAGATATCCCATTCTAAAATCCTGGGCTTTAATGTGGAGTTTGTTCCCCTTTTGTAGCTATAACAGTCTCCCATCTTCTGGGAAGGCTTTCCATGAGATTTTGGAGTGTGTCTGAAAATTTGTGGCCAATCAGCCAGAAGTGCATTTGTGAGGTCAGCTACTGATGTTGGATGAGGAGACCTAAAGCACACTTGGCAGTCAAATTCTTATTAAAGGCATTCAGTAGGGTTGAGGTCAGGGCTTAGTGTGGACCACTCAAGTTCCCCCACACCATACTCCTCATGCCATGTCTTTATGGAGCTGGCTTTGTACACAGGGGCCACAGCCATGCTGGAACAGAAAAAAAACATCCCCAACTTAACATACACATTGTCTTTGTATGCTGTAGCCTGAGCAGCTGCCTTCACTGTAACACCGGAATAGTTTGGAGGGATGGTCACATATTTTGGACCATATTGTAGGTGTGTTAGTCTGGTGCCCAAAACCTTATGTACATATAATGTATAAGAAGCCAGCTGGTGGCTCAGCCCAACAAATTTCTGACAAAGCAGAATGATTCACAGGTCTGTAGCTGACTTGCGGTTTTCTGAGTAACAGCCAGAGACAGTGTTTTAGTTTCTTACATCAGTGCTTATAGTTGTTCTGAGTGATCTATGACACTGTGATTACTTTCTTATAGATGGGCTATGGAAGCAAAGCATTGCAGTTGCTGCAGATGTATTATGAGGGACAATTTCCCTGCCTGGAGGAGAATGTCATCAGTAAGCAGCAAGAGATCACTCCAGTAAGCGGTGAGGTGAGAATCTCCTTATGATTACCTGTCAGTGGTGGTGTTTCTTGTGTGATGACCCGTGTTATATCATATGTCATGTGCTGCACCCTGTAGGCCGTCAGCCTTTTGGAGGAGATGGTAACGCCACGGAAGGACCTGCCGCCCCTCCTGTTGCGGCTCAGCGAGAGACCAGCGGAGAGGTTGGATTATCTTGGGGTGTCATATGGATTAACGCCGCAACTCCTGAAGTAAGTAACTCTCTCATTCAAAGAGACACTCTCACCTTTGCTAATTGAAAGCAAAGTAACAGTATCCATAAAACCACCCCCCTGATCCACATATACTCAACTCTCCAGCGATTCTTCCTCTATTGCAGCTGCTTCTAAATACCTAGTGCTCCCAGGTTATGAGGGAGCGTCTGACCTCCTCCCATGATGCAGGGCTTAGACCTACCCGCTATTGATGGAGGGGGTGACGTCACCACAAACCTCTCGGCGTTGAAATTGGGTTTTTAGATAGCGGCTGTGACAGAGGAAGGAGCAGTGGGCGTAATTGGAAAAAGGCAGCAGAATGAGCAGCCATGTGCAATAATAACATCCAATCAGATTGCTGCTGTAATGCAGCAAAACAAATACCAGATAGTTGCTGTTGTTTATTGCATATTGCACTTTGCTGTTGAATAATGAAGCCTAGCAATAGCTTGCCTTGCTCCTATATACCAGAACTTGCCAAATGTCCCAAGACTCCATAAACTTTTTGTGATTCTTAATTGAATATTATCTATTGCTTGTTTTCTAATTTCAGCTTCTCGTAAGAATCCGCATCTAATTCATTTTTTTTTCTGTAGGTTTTGGAAGCGAGCTGGCTTTGTTCCTGTATACCTACGCCAGACTCCGGTGAGTTGTTTTATGGTTTGATATTTACCGTGTTGTAAATACATCAGATCTGATTCAGGTGAACCCATGGACTTGCCTTACCCCAGGGATGCAGGCATCTCTCGGTGATGTACGTTGGTTCATTTTCAGGGGTCACCCAGAACACAGCAATTTGTTAGGCAATAATAGACCATGCAGATTTCTGGTCCATAACTGGCTTCTTCAGATCTTCCTATTGGTTGACAAATGCATGGGTTGCCTCGTTTCCCAATAGGAAGATTTGAGGAGGCAGGCCAGCTATTGCCTACAAAGCTGCATGGTCAGTTTGTTGTCTTATAGGTTACTATTTCTTTGCAGGATCACTGGATGCGTTTTAGATCAACTGATCTGCTAATGAGCATCTATAGGTGCCTGTTTTAAGCCCAGCTGTTCATCTACATCAGTAATACTACAGTTGTTGCTGGAAATCTGTACATTGGCCTGCTGGGGGCAATTGTTTTTTGGGTTTTAGATCCTGTTGGAAGGATACTTCACATAATTGGATCCAGTGCCAACTATGACTAAACAACATTTCGGTAGTACACTTTGCTAAATACATGAAGGTTTCTTGGATAACACACGTGTGATCATTAGTAATACTATATGCCTTTATGTAAAAATGTTGATTTAAGTGTATAACGCAGGGTGGCAATGGTCTTTTTTTTGTTTCTCTGGTATAGTTTGTACTATTGGTGGTGAAGCCTTTTTACCAGATGTGTATGTGATATATACCTGCTACCTAACCCTATGCTGTCTTACCCCAGAATGACCTCACGGGGGAGCACTCCTGCATTATGCTGAAGAGCCTACAGGAAGAGGAGGAATCTCAACAGGAGCCTTGGCTGACCGCATTCTGGAAAGGTACGAATGTGGCCACTACACAGGGGAGGGAGTGACTGAACAGGTGACTAGCTGGGGGCATAATGGGAGAGGTATTGCATAGGAGTATTTTGTGTTCCAGCATGCAGATAAAGCTGCAAGTTGCTGTTAACCTTTTCCTGGCTAGACTTACCCGTTTGGCGTGAAAAGTAGCCACTCATCTCCCATCCTTGTCTGCCTCTACAGACAGCTTTGTTTGGAGCTTCAATCGGAGACAGAGTCTGAAATCAAACAGTTCCTACTACCTTTTGAGATATCGTCATGCTCTGGAAATCCTGCGACCTTGTATTAAATGTTGTGAAATAAGCATTTTTATATCGGAAACATCAGTTTGAGCCTTCAAATCCTTTTTTAAAAAATTGGTTTAAAATCTTTTATAGTGGATTTCCTGTGGAGTGCACGTAACCATTCTGAGTCGCATTATAGGCTTTCCTTCAAGCAGAACTTGGGATTGGACACAGAATGGACATCCGATTAGGTGGGTTTATCTTTGTGTTTAGCTATCACTTGGTTCTGTTTTTTTAATGCAGATTTCCGAAGACGTTTCCTGTCTTTACTGTCCTATCAGTTCAGCGGTTTCTCCCCATCGGTGGCACTAAACATCCTACAGAACAAAAACGTCAAGAAGGAAACTCAGAATTGTAAGTTCAACTATCATTTCTGTCCTTTTTGTTACCAAGTGTTTTGTGCTTGAGCATCAATAAGTCCACTGACTTCCATTGTCTTCTCCCCTTAGTGATCACACGCCTGGAGCTGCAAGCCTCCTTTACACCATACGACCTTAAGAGGTTAGAGATGTACTCGCAGAACATGGTGGACTATCACCTCATCATGGATCTTATACCCTCTATTGCACGGCTGGTGTTCTTACAGCGACTTGGAGGCATCAACCTCTCGCTTGCCCAGTCTGTAAGTAACCGTGCATTGTGTTTCATTTAGTCTGGAAGTGTTATGTGGTTATTGCAACATTTGCATTGAGCGACATCCTACCAGCCAGTGTGTTCTCCATTGCTGGAAGAAGATAATGCTTTGGCTTGGCAAATCTTCTCTGGAGAAAGGGGAAATGTTCGACCACACTTTATGTTCTTTCCTGTAGTGGATCTCATCCTGACCTCTCCTTTTCCCATCAGGCTCTGCTGCTTGGGATCGGGCTGCAGCACAAGACTGTGGATCAGCTGGAGAAGGAGATTGAGCTGCCAAGCAGTCAGCTAATGGGTCTCTTTAACCGCATCATCCGCAAAATTGTACAGGTAACTTACTAAAGCTCTGTTTTACAATGGTGAATAGATTGTGTGATCTATTGGCGTCACAGTAATTATCACTTTAACTACACAACTTTCTGAAACCAGGTTACCAATGCTCTGATCTTTTTGAATTATTGCATCACCAGTCAGATTCAGCCTTCCATAGTATCACCAGTCAGATTCAGCCTTCCATAGTATCACCAGTCAGATTCAGCCTTCCATAGTATCACCAGTCAGATTCAGCCTTCCATAGTATCACCAGTCAGATTCAGCCTTCCATAGTATCGCCAATCAGATTTTAGCCTTCTGTTGTATCGCCAATCAGATTCAGCCTTCTGTTGTATCGCCAATCAGATTCAGCCTTCCATAGTATCACCAATCAGATTCAGTCTGCAAGGCTCTCTGTGTGGGGCATAAAAGGAGCTTACATTGGGAACATTTAAGAACTCCTCTCCTGCATGTGTAAACTGGGAAACAGACGTGGTATTGCTTTCACTGGTAAACTCTAGTAGATGAAAAGCAAATACTGCACTTTAAATGCCGCTACACACACTGCACGCGAAACCGTGCAGAGCGAAGCAAAGCTATCCGGCACGGAGCTTCGCATGCAGTGTGTGAGCTGAGTGCAGTCAGATGATTGACTGACTGCACCTTCAGCCAATCGGCTTGTCCGTAAAAACCAGCCAGCTGTCGCATGACAACGCGCTGGTTTATACACGTGAGCCGTTTGGCTGAAGATGACAACATTTTTCATCTCAGCACGCTCAGCGAGCTCTCGCAAGCTGAGATGCCGAGGAGAAAATAACATGACACGCTGCTCGCAAAGGGAGCGCGCCTCCGCTCAGCTTCGCGTGCAGTGTGTCACGGCCTTAAGACTATTTCCTGTATGAATTCTAAAGCTGCATCAGTTTTTAAAAAATGTTTAGGCTTTTCCCTTTATTTTTATCTGGTGGTTCTGGCCGTAATACATTTCCTGTCCTAGAGTGACATCACTCGCTGCACTACATCTATGGAGGAGCAGTGTTGTCGCTCTAGGAAAAGACTAGAGAATGCCTCCTCCCTCTCCTGTTTCTGTAACGTATTGGAGGAAGTCTTTTGTTGAGCAAAGAGAGAGCTGGGAACATTGTAAAGGATTAAAGCACAGAAGTCATCAGCTCATAAGATTTCTGGCAGGATCAACAGGTATTTTTTTTTTTTTTGCACTTCTAGAATAGATGTAAGAAAATGCTTTCAGTGTTATATTTAACAGACCAAAATGGAGCAAATAAGAAAAAAATCCTTCTTTGGGTTTGCATACACTTTAAGGCTTCTATAAATGATGAAGTGTTTTATACAAGAAGGTGTGATTTATAAACCAGTTTGTATGCCTTAAGTGAGTTCAGCATCTATCACCCCGTACTTATTACATGATTGTATGTCTCCAGTTATTTAACAGGATTCAAGAAAAGGCTGTTGAGGAACAGATGGGGACTGTCAAGGAGGTGGTCATGGAGCCCACCTTGCAATCTCTCAATGAGGATTTGGTGAGATTTGGCTACAATTTACAAAGATGTTTCAATTTGTCTTATGAGGAAGAGTGAGAGGCGATGTGGTCTTTGATTGTTATTGTCCCGTGGTTGTAACATGGGTTTCTTTTGTGGGGGCTCGATTTGGTTGGTAGTGGCTGTACTTTCACCTATAGGGACCCCACAGAGGGGCAGGAGAGGGTCCTCGGGAAGACAATTAGACAACAAAAATCAGAAGCGCCACCAACGACTCTTTTCCCTTCGGCGGTGCCTTGGTTTTTTTGTTCTAATCCAATTTGTGTTGTGTCTCTTTACCCTGAACGTAGTTGTTATTCTTTGTTCCCTGTAGGAAGAGGCAGCCAAGGAGTTTCAGCAGAAGCACAAAGAGGAAGTGCAGAAGTTGAAAGGAATTAATCTAACGCAGTAAGTGAAACTGTTTATTGATTGACTTGTGAGGAAGCTGGGGGGTCCCAGTACTGAGAGCCGTTGTGTAAGAATCCCGAATATGCAGCAGACAAAATAATTCTGGTTTATCTGTAGATACGTAATCCGGGGCGACGATGATGAGTGGAACGAAGTCTTGAAGACTGGCCAGAACACATCTGTTATCAGTGTGAAAAGGTCAGTATGCAGCTACTTTCTTCATGGGGCAAAAGCAGATCTCTGCCATAGATCTTCTAACCTGCGGCACAACAGTCTGCCTCCTTCCATTGATGATTCCAGATTTTTCTTGCAACCCTCCTGTAGTTCAGAAGTGTTAATACAGCCGCCTGTTCATATATTTTACTATACCTATGCTTCGTAAGTGGAGTTATATGTGGAAGGCCGTGTCTCCAGAGCCAACACTTCCCTTCATCAGAGCTCGGTAAACTTTATTAACCCCTTCATGACTGAGGCCTTTTTTTAATTTTTTGTACCCATGTTATATTCCACATTTTAGGCCTTAAAATTACTTAAAACCCCCCAACATTATATATTTTCTGAATGCCAAGACCCTATAGAATAAAATGGTGGTAGTTGCAAATTTTTATGTTGCGCAATATTAGCGCAACTCCTTATTAAACCCCAATATTTAGTGAAAAGTTTAATTAAATGACGCAAAACACAACAAAATACCCATTTTACCCAGGTTACAACGAGTAAAACGATACCCAACATGCCCAGGTTACAAATTGCGTGCATCCGTAAAACGGCGAAAAACCCCAGTACCCCAAAAAGTCCATAGAAGACGCTTTAAAAGCCCCCACAGGTCATCAATTTAGAGATACCCCAAAAT